ATAAATATTTTTTATTTTTAAAAAATGTATTTGGTGGTGGCTTTAAGACTTGGTAAATTTGTCACATTATCTTTAAATATGGGTGGCAAAGTTTTGTATGATCTCATCAAATAATAAAAATAGAACAAATTACCAAAGATTGACTTATGAATTAAATATTATTTTTCAGTCCCTCATCTTTGGTGGAGAATATTTTATTGACATATCTGTATGTGCCTAAACAGTCACAGTGTTTAATACCAATAGTTTGTGCTACAGAAAATACAGTAAGTATAACTTGATTTCTATTACCTATAAAAATTTAAGACAAAATGTTGATTTTTTTTACGGAAGTAATATATTAAAATAATATGAAAGTAATTAGAAATATCTCACAATAGATTGGAGAGAGGCTGGTAGAAAATAACCTGACACACATATAACTGGGCATAAACAAAGTCGGGAATTTAAACCAAAAGAAGTTGGACTACCAGAAAGTCTTTGAGAACATTTTATTTTATTAATCATATGAATATTGACAGAAAAAAGAGATGGGATATATTCTGGAAAAGAAAAAGTGGAGAAAAAAAGGGGGAAAAAAAATGATGGGAACAATGCATTCGAGCTCTCCATTACTGAGGACTTCTAACTACCCATGGGCATGTCTAATACTATATAGGTAACTTATAAATGAGAAAATCCACATATCCCTGAAGATTTGTTTTATTTCACTAACAATCTTTATGTTCTTAATTAAAAGCTGAAGAGCAGCTCAATATTATTCTTCAGTATTTCAGGAAAAAAAAGGAAGGTGGAGTAGGACACTTTCTCCCTTGATATTACGTTTTCTATACTTTTAAAATCCAGTACTTTTTACAATACTGTGACATGTAAGCACAGGTCAAGAAACTCATAGCTTTAAAATTTAATAACCACCAAAATTACCTATGTCATCCTATGAATTACCTATTACCCAGATAACTACTCTACCATGCTAGAAGTCATAAAATAAATATGCAACATACAATATTGGGTAAAAGCACTCATTTTTGAAAGCTATTGATTCAAAATGTATGCCTTACTGTGACAAATTAACTGATACAACCTACTCTTTAAGTGCAAAAAGTTGCACTTTCCAGCTTTCTACCATGCCTGTTACCTGGAGTATCTTTTCCAGGGATTGGTAATGAAGCAGCACTTTTGCTTCTGGCTATTGCTGCTTTTGCTGGGACAATCAGGCTCATTATTAAATCATTCTCCCAAAGTTCGGTATACAGCTGCTGAACTATATGATGAGAAAAAACAAAAAGGATTCAATTTGAAGCCTTGAAAATATTGGAAAGCAAGAAAGACTAATGTGAACTATTGTAACTTTCTCTGTCAAAAAGTAAATGCAATGAAAACAAGACATACATGATAGTGAAAACTACCACCTGATCAGACTGCATTGTTAAGGAAGTGTACCTGAATAAAGGGGGAAAGGCCCCAGCATACCACAAAAACCCCAATTAAGGAATCTAGGTAATATATTTAACAAAACCATACTCAATGGATGGAATCTTTATGGAGAGGAATGAAAAAACAACTTTGACATGGATTTCTATGGTCATGCTGGTCAAGTCCATTGCCAAAAGCTCCAAGGGACTGACTGAATTCTTTTGCTAAAAGTGAATCTTGTTGTAAATATCTTGCTCCAATAAATTTTTATGCTCATAAAGATCCTTGGGACAATGGCATTTGTTATAACAGGATTTGATCTGAATCAATGAACTGGAGAGTCTTCTGTAAGTGAATGGTTCGGTATGAAACAAAAAGCAGCAATCATGTTTGACAGGGAAAAGTTAGCAGGGAAGGTGTTAGAAACTACTTTAAATAAAGAAGTACTTTAGTAATAATTGTGAAATCTTGCATGCAATAATCAGCAGAGAAAACATACACAAAGGATAGACTTGGGGTAATACTATGAAGCAACAAAGCAAAGCTTTGAAGTTCCAAATGTGGCCGGTAATTCAGAACTGCTAAATGCAAATTGATGAAATGTTTGAAGGGAGTCAAGTCCTCTAGTACAAATCTATCTCTTCCAACATGTATCATCTAGTTCGTCAGTTTCATTAAAGACTCCTTGCTCAGATGATGGCAGAATTATCTATTTAACTCTTCTGGCTTCAGCCAAATAAGCACGGCGCCGAAGTACATTTTTTAGTTAAAGAAGGGATATTCTGGCTTTCAAATTTAGGAATGACTTTTCAAGTAACTGAATGTTGACATTCACATCTCTTTTAAACCACTATTTAAGACTGGTACTGAGAAATAAATAACCACCTGCTTTTCCTTCCTTTTGCTCTTCCTCTGTAGGTGAATGCAGTTTCCTATGTCTTCTAAAAGATGAGTTTATCTTCTTTTCTGTTTTTTCTGGAGATCAAAGGCAAAGGAATATTATATTTTACAAGCTCTTTGAATATATTATTTCAGAAGCGAGTCACTCCTTTTTTCAAACATTTTCTATTTTATCTGCACTTACTTGTAAAGAATTTATTTAAGTTTCAAATATTATGTAGAGCTTCTACATCCCCAAACTTAAAACTAGTTTAACTGTTTAACTCTTTAAGTTATCTAAAATAAAATAAACTTATTTAGAAAATTGTAAAAATTAAGAGGGGAAAATATCTGATACAACTTGACAACATCAAAGTTCCCAAATTAGAAGTATACAACCTTTAATTTTGGATACAATCCATGATATCTACTGCTAAAGTAACTTATACTTTAGTTATAACTAGTATTTTTAAAACAAAAATGATCATTACCACATGATACAGATGTACAATTTTAGCAACCCAAATCATTCATAGGGAAAACAATTTGTTTTGTGTAGATACTTTTCCATTTCACTTGACATATTCTGGCTCAGAATATTAAGGAATGTCTGTTTAAAGAATAACTTTTCTTTTGGGGACAAATTAAAGTACATATTGACAATACAGCATCATTTGAAAATTCCTGAATTGATAATATAATTGAGCATTGTGAACCACAGAAGTGTAAATGATTCAGTTAGGTGGTTAAATCACACATCCTTTATTATTATATTGCAAGAAATGTCAAAATGCTATAAAGTTATGAGTCAGCAATGAACAGAAGAAAAGTAGACTATTTGAATCAGCCAAGATTTAAAATAGGGCTATTTAAAATATTACAGATTATATTATGAACTTCATTTGAGTTTAAAGTGCTCATCTCTGGATTGAATAGGTTTCATTTCAATTTGACGGGATTTTACAAAGATAAGCCACTGCCAATATTGATTTTATTTCCCCTGGAACCAATGATTACAACATTCATCATTTCAGGGTGTGCAATATACTGTACCTTTAGGCAAGTTATTTTACAAAGTGTCTTCCACACACCTTCTTGTATTAAAAACTTGTAAAGAAATCATTTAAAAAGTTACTTGGAATTGTTCCTTCAGTGCGATTTAACTAATTATTACTGTGAAAGTCATCACCTGTCCCTTCTCTTTACATGTTTCACTAATATGGCAAGTATGCATATTATTGAAAGCATATTAGTATTTGCTCATTATATTAGAAAGTATAGTAAGCATCTCTGGAAGAAATCTTTGCTAATTCCTCAAAGCAATTAGATAATAAAACAAAGATAATGCTTGTGAAAAAATTAAGCTATATTAAAATGAAAGCATATAAACATGACATTGATGTGAATGTTATCTAATCTTTCTAAAGGATTGAGTTGGTGGAAACTAAATTAATTTTCTTATATGACAAACAAGGTGCTAGAGAAAATCTTCCCACATTAATCTATGAATGGACCTACGCTATATATAAAAGTGCTTTGGGAAAGCATATTGAGGGTAACTGTGGTTCAACTTTTGTTAGAACATTACAGGAGAAAACGTGATGCACCCAGACTGATGAAAAACCTTGCACGCAAGCTCATCGTTGGAAATTGTATGACTCCTAAAAGTACAAATAACATATGCAAGAATGAACAAAGCTAAAATCACTTCCAACATATTCAAACTATAATATTTAGACAAAAATGGAAAAATCTTTCCCACTAAGTTAACTACTGCTACAATTATACTTTAAATGAGATCTAGAATCTTTTGCTGTACTGGAATTTTTAGAGCAATCAGCATTGCTCCAAAAAATGTCAAAGCACCTAATAATACAAAAAAAAATACTTTTTAATTCAAATTATGCCTTTTTTTCCCCATTCATAAGGTACAAAAGTGGTATTTCTTTTTTTAATGACTAAGTTTAAGGGAATGCTATATAATGTTGGCCATGTTTTCTTCCTTCCGTGATCATTTCTATTTTTTCTTTTTTTTTTAATTTTTATTTTTCAATTACAGTTGACATTCAGCATTATTTTATACTAGCTTAAGGTATACAGCATAGTGGTTAGATATTTATATAATTTATGAAGTGATGCTCTCGATTAGTCTAGTACTCACCTGGCTTTAAATGAACATAGTTATTATAATATTGTTGACTATAGTTCCTAAGCTATACTTTACATCCTCACGACTATTCTGTAACTACCAATTTGTACCTCTTAATCTCTTTACCTTTTTCACCCAGTCCCCCAATCCCATCCTCCCATCTGTCAATCATCAGTTTCTTTTCTGTATCTGAGTCTGATTACATTTTCATTCATATTTTTTTTTAGATTCCATATAAGTGAAATCATATGGTATTTGTCTTTCTCTGTCCGACTTACTTCACTTAGCATAGTACTCTCTAGGTCCATCGGTGTTGTTTCAAAAGGTAAGATGTCATATTTTTATGCCTGAATAATATTCCATTGTGTGTGTGTGTGTGTGTGTGTGTGTGTGTGTGTGTACACTTCTTTATCCAACCATCTATTGACGGGCACTTAGGGCACTTCCATATCTTGGCTATTGTAAATAGTGTTGCAGTGAACATAGAGATGTATATATCTTTTCTTTGGATAAATACCCAGAAGTGCAATTTCTGGGTCATAAAGTAGTTCTATTATTAATTTTTAAGAAACCTCCATACTGTTTTCCATAGTGGCTGTACCAATTTGCAATCCTACCAACAGTGCATGAGGGTGGGTTCCCCTTTCTCCACATACTTGATTTATTGATGATGGCCATTCTGATAGGTGTGAGGTGATCTCATTGTTGTTTTAGTTTGCATTGCTCTGATGATTAGTGATATTGAGCATCTTTTCATATGTCCTTTGGCTATCTGCATGTCCACTTTGGAGAAATGCCTATTCAGGTCCTTTGCCTGTATTTTTTATTGGGTTGTTTTTTTTTTTTTTTTGGTGTTGACTTGTATCACTTGTATTTTTATCTCCAAAAAGAAAAAATTTTTTTTTGCTTGATGAGTATGGTTGCTTAATTTTTTTTAATTATCAGTGAGAAGCACCATGTACTACAAGCCAGAAATGGTCAATGACACACAGTCAGGTAATAATTTTTTTTAAATAAGGAACACTAAATAAAAGGACAAATACCAGGAGCAAAAGTATCTGAAGTATCCATAGTAGGTAACTTCATTGGGATCTTAACTACAAAACCAGGAAGGTAATTATACTTGCCTGTCGATTTTACAAGGTTGTTGTGAATAACAAATATATGTGAAGCAGATCAATCTGTCCACTGCTATATATATGCTATTATTTTCCTTAAATAAGGAATTATTCATGAAACTTAATGAAAATTGAATGATTAGTTTAACTAGTCCCTAGAAAAAAATGATTTTGTTTATAGGTTAGAAAGAATATGAATTAATTTTAAAATAAATTATTGTGCCACTTAATGGCAACGTCTTTTGGTTGAAATGTTTTAGTTTGGGCTACCTGAGCCCTACAAACCCATCTGATATGATTAATACACAAGTCACAAAATGAGGATTTATATTGATATTTATACTAATATATTAATTTTATATACACATGCATATATTGATATTTATATTGGTATACTGATGAAGTACAAAATGGTAATGACCATCTCTATCATCTACTGTAAAACAATGTGATATTGCTCTTCTGAAATCAATCTAAATGTTCCACAATATAAAGAATAAGTGGTACTGTAAAAATACATATAAAGAATTGATTTATTTGAAATTCAGTGGAATACATGAAATAACTACTTACTTTTGGCTATAGAATTTTGAAGACCTGCAGATGACACAGTCGTTTGTTTTTGCAAACCAGAAGTCTCCTGTTCAATTTTTTCAGTAGATACAGATCGTTTATTGACTGAGAAAAGATATAATATTTACTATATACAATTTTAAGAAAGCATCATTAGCTGAAACAAAACGAGTTCATGATGTAGTTCTATGGAGCATAAATATGCATTAATTAGGTACACAATGTTCATTGTCAGTCATTTCTTTAAAATTGTATGTATTTAACTTATGTTTTATGAAATAGTGTAGAATTATGTCCACATACATGAAAATTTACAGTATATCAATAGTAAACGGCAGATTTATTTTTTAAATGTGCGTTGAATAAAGCTGTATAAAGTGTATTGATTATCATTTTTATACTGATTACAAGTTTAAATGTTAAGATTTTAGATCCATTAGATAAAATAAAACTATAAAATTTTCACTGTTTCTTTTGCAATCTCATGACACAGATGAAATACTGTGCACATCAGAGCACATGGCAGTATTTTCATTGAAGATACAAAACTCAAAACCTTGTTCTAAATGCAAGCTTATGGTAATAGCCAATATTTAATATGAGCATGAATGAACTTCAAGTTCAATAGTTGTATTAATTACCAGTTTTACTTCCAGAATTTACTGTTGTAGAACCTTCCCATGACCATCTTTTTTGACGTTGATCAACACGGTTGCTCCGCTCCAATGTACGAGAGAGAGCTGCTTTGAATTTCTCCTATTTAAAATAAATGCCAACAATTTTTACACATTCCTTATAATGGTTAGTATAATTTTGATCTGTGGGTTATAAAGCAATACCACCATCACATTTTATATCAGGCAAAGTTTTTCGTATCAGGTAAAAGTTAAAAATAGAGACATGTTTCAGGTATCAGTCAATATCAGTGCTTCTCCTGAATAACTAGGTTTTAATCTTATGAATCTGAATCGAGGAACTGATCATACTTCCTTTTGCCTTTATCACTGGGAAATTTAGAACCAAATTTGTAGCCTATTTCTAGAAACTATACGAAGACTGAGTGGTCCACTTTTGTGTTTGCTAATCATACCTTATGTTTTATTTTTTCCTACTTTAATTTTCCCCTCTGCTTGACTCCCTCAAACATTTATCATCTGGTTGTAGTATGTATTTTTAAAAATACACTTGAAATTCTTTTTAGAATGAGGAAGGAAAAAAGTCAACTCACACACAGAAGTGAAATCTATGCCAGAGTCATCTATTTTACCCACATTTATAACATCTTAAATTCTGGTGTTAATATAGTTTTAAAAAGATAATGATGAGTTGGTCTTGACTTCGACTCAATTTAAACTGCTCAGGATAACAGCTATACAAATTTAAATGTCATACTGTGGCAAAACAACTCCACTGCCAGAAATTCTTAGATATTTTTCATCCCGGTGCTATAACACACCGTGGGCTATACGCAGGTAAGCAAATCAACTTCTGGGCCAGACGGTTTTCTATTTTTCTCTGACAACAACCGTTTCTTAGCAACATCATACTTATAAAATCCCCACTATTTCTCAGGCCAAAGAGGGTAAGCATACCAGGAAAATGGAGAATCATCATATCCTCTACAGAGAATAGCAACTGCAATTCTTAAAATAAAATGTATGTAATGGCAATATTTTAAAATTATATTTTCTAACAGGAAGTTGTTCTAAATTACTTAGAAACCCAGAAAGTATAACGAAGACTAAAAACAGAGACTAATCTTGTATTAGTAAAACATTCCTGATTCCTAAGAATTCCATACCTGTTTCCAAATGCACCGACTCTCTGTGCTCTCAGGTTCCTTCGTGCATTTGTAGCTAAGATGTATCGCCCATTCCCCAAATTTGGGGTTTTTACCCTGCTCTACCTGTAGCCTACTTATAGTATCCCATGGTCCCTGCGCTGGGACAC